GTTCAGCAGCAATATTCCACCCCCAATTTGGAAGAGAGCTGGAACAGTTTCAGATGAAGAAGAGCGCCAAGCTTGGTCCAGAGGAGAGCTCAAAGGTGAAAACACAAGACTTACACCATGAGCAGTTCTGGCAAAGAAGTGTCCCTAAGTAAAAAGCACCGCCTTCAGAAGTTTCTGGGATCGCTTCAAAGGGTACGAGGGCTTGGATTGGGATGGCATGGTGATCTGTGTGTACACAGAGACTTTACTGGCAGTCCATGTTCCTCTCCCATGCAAAACACTTAAGAGCCACTCTGTCAAAGTGGGCCAGTACCACTAAGCAGCCAGGGCCTGAGATTTAGGAAATCTCTACCACTTAAAACATCACACCCCAGCCTCACGCAAAACACGCATAGGTTCTCCTTGAGGGAGCTGTGCAAGAACACAGGGCACACGAGGCTCAAAAGCCAAGCCAAGGTTTAAGCTACACAGATCAGAAGGAAGTTTGCAGGAACAGACGGAGCAACTCAAGATAGGAAGAGAACTCCATAAGAGACAGAGAGGGTTAGAGGGCACCAGGGTAGGTCACATCAGGTATTTGCTGCCATTGATCTGTGCCCCAACGCGCTTGACCCATGGACTCAGTGAGGGACGATGGAGGGATGCCTGAGCACACAGTGGGCACCACAGGGGTCAAGAGGAGGGAAGTATCTGCATTTGAGTGGTTGTCTAAAACCAGCCCCTCGATTTTTGCAAGTAAAACCAGCTCAACTTGTCAGTTTCTTGAAAAAACTTGGGGTTTATTGATTTAAACTGCAAACAGTCGTTACAAAAGAGATTCTTTTAAATAAACTCACACAAAGAGGAAGAAAAAGCAATGTAGTGAACAGTAACAGGGGGGAAAAAAAAATTACATTCATTTTTCTCTTTGTGCCAGTCCCATTCACCTCGGCAAGGAAAACTCCAAACTTGGAATACAGAAACGCAAAGACAAACTGTATTTGGAATGTCTTCAGATAGGCACTTTGAGCCCAAGGCTTTTCTCCTTGAGGAATCTATACAAAAAGAGGAAGAAAAAGGTCTTCCTTCCACACTGCCTCGCAACAGAGCTCAGGTATGTACATTCTAAAGCCCAGGTAGGCAAGAACCATGGGAGGGGAAGAGGAGGAGAAGAGGAAAGGCAAAGAAGCACATTAACTCAATTTGCAGTCCAACACAAAAAAAAAAGGGGGGGAGGGAATTCTAAAATAAATAATCCAAACACAGTTTTTGCATTTTTTTAAATTAATTTTTCATTTTTTAAAATAAAATAACCAAAAAAAGTGTAAAGTTACAAAAAATGTCATTGTAGTATAATATATTAAACTGTGGGGAAAAAAGGAAAAAAGACACTTCACAATCTTAAGATTAATATGGAAGATCATAATTTAAACATAAAAGAATATATTCTATGGATTCATCATCCCGATAAATATGAACAAAATTAACAAAAAAGCATAGGTTTCGGCAATAAATACGTTTTGATAAGTTAAATAAGCTTTTTTATATTGTTGTGCAGTGACAAGCAAAATTTGCTCTCCAATTTCTGAAAAGTTATACAAAATTAAAAACCCAGAAAAAAAAATAATAAAAAGCTTGGCGTGAGTGCTCTAAGATAGGTCTAAAGTACTCTAGAGCAAAACCATTAAAGCTATGTCTACTGGAACTTTGTTTACACAAACTTCTGTGTGTGTGGAATGACTTCCGTCAGCCCCACCCCCTCTATTTCTTTATTTGTTTTAGGATGTCACGTGAATACACGGGGAACTTTTAGCACCAAAATCAAGTCTCTCATAGTCCATCTGTTTTTTTTTCTTTTTTTGTTGTTGTTTTGTTTTCTTCCTCCCAGTCGTTGTCCCACTCGTGTTACAATCTTTGTCCGTTCTCAGCTTTTCTTCCCGCAGACCTGAGCGGATCCAGGCAAGATTAGTCTTTAAAGGGGAGGGGAGAAAGAGTACTGGATGTTAACGCTTGCCCACATGCCTGCAGCCTAGCGGAAACTGGCCAGTTGGGAAGGGACTGGGAGAGGGCGATGCAGTACATGGCCAGTGGAGGGAGCTGGATCCCGGACATTTCCTGCACATCTGGAAGTGCACAGAGCTGCTGGTGCCCTCTGCAGCTGGAGAGGTAATACAGTCACAGTGAAAGTGTTAAAAGGCACTAATTTTGTAAACGTTATTGCTTTTCATCGTAATTTGGCACTTAAGGTTTAAGCCAGTGGGTCTACGGCAGGCAGGTGGACACATTAACATCCAGCTCAGACTACTGGGGATGGGGTTGGGGGAGTTCAGCTTAACATCATAATAGAGGTGTAGGGGGAGGGAGCGAGAGGAAACCCCAGATTAGTCGTCGGAGATGGAGAGTCTGCTGAAGATGGGAAGACGTCTTGAGGTGTCCAGGATAGGGGAATCTGAGCCGCTGTGGCTGCTGCTGGAGCTGCTCAGATAGCCCTCCTGGTCAGACAGGGAGTCCTGAGGACTGGGCGGCGAGTCAAACATGTTGGGGGACTCAGACATGGGCCTGAACAAGAAGGTGGTGGGGGAGCTCCCGCTGGGCACCTGTACCCCCATGCTGGGGGCGAAGAGACTGACCAGCTCCTGGCTGGAGAAGGTGAAGGGGTTGCTGGCGCAGTCAGGCAAGGTGGGGGAGCCCAGCAGGTCGTCGGCGCTCAGCATGGGCGGCGGGGTGATGGAAGTGGGGCTGTCCAGCAGCCCGCTGGCAGCAGTGCTGGGGAAGCAGGAGAAGCTGAAGCTGTGCTGCA